CGCCGCTCCACTTCTCCCGCCTCCCAGGCTTGCGGCGCCAATCAGCTGTTTGGGGCCGCAAGCCTGGGAGGGAGAGAAGCAGAGCAGGGCGGCGTGCTCAGGGGAGGAGGCGGAGCAAAGGTGAGCTGGGGCGGGGAGTTCCCCTGCGTGCCGCCCCCCTCCCCCCACTTGCTGCAGGCGGCCCTCCCTGCGCCCTCCCCAGCCCCAGCTCCCTCCGCCTAAATGCCGCTGACGATCAGGGCGGCCGCCGCTGAAGGACCCGAAATGCCGCCCCCTAAATGCTAGTGCCCTAGGCAACCGCCTAGGTCGCCTAATGGGTTGCACCGGCCCTGGTTACTAGACTCACCTTTATAAATCTATTTTATATAGATTTAAATTAATTTTTATAATGGGTAGCATTTCCAAGTGATTTACTCCAAAGAACTCTAGGATTCTGAATGATTTCTACCATGACAGAAAAGAACAATTAGAATACTGATGGCTCAATATATAGTCTAAGGCCTACATTTTCAAAAATGACTAGTGATTTTGGGTACCCAATTTTAGACACCTTGAAGTAGCCTGATTTTCAGAAGGTTCTCTGAAAATCAGGTCCTTTTAGAGGCCACAGAACCTCACCCACCCACTCCTGTAATAGACCCTTAACCTCTGGCTGAATTACTAGTCCTCAAATCATTATTTAAAGATTTCAAGTTACAGAGAATCCACCATTTACACTAGTTTAAACCTGCAATTGACCTGTGCTCCATGCTGCAGAAGGCGGTGAAAACCCGCCAGGGTCTCCGCCAATCTGACCCACGGGAAAATTCCTTCTGACCCCAAATATGGCGATCAGTTAGACTCTGAGTATGTGGGCAAGACCCACCAGGAAGATACCTGGGAAAGAATTCTCTGTAGTAACTCAAAGCCCTCCCCAGCTAGTCTCCCATCACTGGCCATTGGAGATATTTGCTGCTAGCAGTCATAATTGGCTACATGCCATTGTAGAAGTCTCATCATACCATCCGCTCCATAAACTTATCAAGCTCAGTCTTGAAGCCAGGTAGGTTTTTTGCCCTCACTGCTCCCCTTGGGAGGCTGTTCCAGAACTTCATTCCTCTGATAGTTAGAACCTTCACCTACTTTCGAGCCTAAACTTGTTGATGGCCAGTTTATAACCATTTGTTTGTGTGTCCTCATTGGCACTTAATTTAATAACTCCTTTCTCCCTGGTATTTATCCCTCTGATGTATTTATAAAGAGCAATCATATCTCCCCTCAGCCTTCTTTTGGTTAGACTAAACAAGATAAGCTCTTTGAGCCTCCTCTCATAAGGTAGGTTTTCCATTCCTCAGATCATCTTAGTAGCCCTTCTCTGCACCTGTTCCAATTTGAATTAATCTTTCTGAAACACGAGAGACCAGAATTGCATGCAGTATTCCAAATGGGTTCTCACCATTGCCCTGTATAATGCTATTAATACTTCCCTGTGTCTACTGGAAATACCTTGCCTGATGCATCTTAGGACTTCATTAGGCTTTTTCGTGGCCACATCACATTGGTAGCTCATAGTCATCCTGTGATCAAACAATACACTCAAGTCTTTCTCTTCCTCTGTCACTTCCAATTGATGCATCCCCAGATTACAGCAAAAATTCTTGTTGTTAGTCCCTAAATGCATGACCTTGCACTTTGCACTATTAAATTTTATCCCGTATACAAGGTGATCCAGATCTTCTTGTATGATATTTCGGTCTTCCTCCGTATTGGCAAAACCTCTTAACTTTGTGGCATCCGCAAATTTTATTAGCGCACACTCACTTTTTGCGCCAAGGTCAGCAATAAAAATGTTAAATAAGATTGGTCCCAAGACCAGTCCCTGGGGAACTCCACTAATAACCTCCCTCCAGCCTGACAGTTCATCTTTCAGTATAACCTGTTGTAGTCTCCCCTTTAAGCAGTTCCTTATCCACCTTTCAATTTTCATATTAATCCCCATTTTCTCCAATTTAACTAATAATTTCCCATGTGGAACTGTATCAAATGCCTTACTGAGATCCGGGTAGATTAGATCAGATCTACTGAATTTCCTTTGTCTAAAAAAATCAGTTATCTTCTCAAAGAAGGAGATCAAGTTGGTCTGGCACGATCTACCTTTTGCAAAACCATGTTGCATTTTATTCCAATTACTGTTAAGCTCTATGTCCTTAACTACTTTCTCTTTCAAAATGTGTTCCAAGACCTTCCATACAATTGAGGTCAAACTAACAGGCCTGTAGTTTCTCAGATCACGTTTTTTCCATTTCTTCAAAAACAGGAACTATATTAGCAATTCTCCAGTCATCAGGTACAACCCCCGAGTTTACAGATTCATTAAAGATTAAAAATTCTGAAACACAGGTTTCCTTACCTCTATTGCTACCAGCATCTGACATTATTTGAAATGAAATTTTAAAAAATCTAATTGACTTTTAATTATATGTTTACTTTCTGCATTTCTCTCAGCACAGACTAATTAGTACAGGAAAGCCTGAAAGTGAAACTATCATAATACTGCAACGTTTTGTTGCAAACATGCTTATTTAAAAAAATACAGTAACTCACCACTTAATGTTGTAGTTATGTTCCTGAAAAATGCTATTTTAAGCAAAATGATGTTAAGTGAATCCAATTTCCCCATAAGAATTAATGTAAATGGGGGGGGGGGGTTAGGTTCCTGGGATATTTCCCAGGGAATGCCTTACTGCTAAGTGATGAACTAGCACTCGGCTGAGCCCTCAAGAGTTAACACATTGTAGTTAATGTAGCCTCACACTCTACAAGGCAGCACGAATGGAGGGAGGGGAGACAGCATGGCAGAGAGAGACAGAGACACACACACACATTGCCCCTTTAAGCATGCTGATGCCCCTCTAAGTATAGTGCCTTTTTAAATAGATCAGCAAGTTGAGACAGCAGCTGCTGCCAGCAAGCTCCCTCCGTCCTGAGCCCTGTCGTGTCCCCCCGCTGCTCTATGGAGATGGGGTAACGGAGCGGGCGGCAGGAGTGGGGTGAGGGGGACACCCTGACATTAGTACCCCTCTTCCCCCTCCCACCCTTGCAGAGCAAGCAAGAGGCTCCCAGGAGCAGCTCCAAGGCAGAGGGCAGGAGCAGCACAGGGCAGTGTGGGGGAGGGACAGCTTAACTGCCCGGCAATTGATAGCCTGCTAACTCTAGGGTTACCATATTTCCACAATCAAAAAAGAGGACACTGGGGGGGAGAGGGGGAAGAGCCCCGCTCTAGCCCCGCCCCATCCACTCCCTCCCACTTCCCACCCCCTGACTACCCCCCTCAGAACCCCCAACCCCCCCTGCTCCTTGTCCCCTGACTGCCCCCTGCTGGGACCCCTGCCACTAACTGCCCCTCTAGGATCCTACCTGTCCCCTGACTGCCCCGACCCTTATCCATACCCCCACCCCATATTCACACCCACGCCTCCAGACAGACCCCTGGGACTCCCACACACCCTATCCAACCGCTCCCCACCCCCTGACAGGACCCCCAGAACTCCCAACCCAGCCAACCCCCTCTGCTCCCTGCCTGCCTCAACCCCTCTCCACACCCCTGCCCCGACAGCCCCCCCCAGAACCCCTGACTCAACCAATCTCCCCTACTCTCTGTCCCTTGACTGCCCCCTCCAGAAACACCCTGCCCCTTCTCCAGCCACCTGGCCCCCTTACCCTGCCGCTCAGAACAGCATCTCGGGCTCCACGCGGAGCCCGACACGTGGCTGCACTCCCCAGCGCAACACACAACCCGGTCCCTGCCCCCGCACAGTGCTGCCGGAGCGGGGCGCGGGGCAGCAGGGGAGGGGGAGAAGGGGGGGAGGAGGAGGAGCTGCCGAGGCCCGATGCGAACGGCCCGGCCGGCCGGCGGGCGATCTGAGAACGCAGGGAGGGAAGGGAGGGGAGTAGCTCTACATTGGCTGGGCTGGACTCCGGCAGCTGATCTGAAGCTGCGGGGGAAGGGCTCTGACTGCCGGAGCCCCATGCGAGCAGCTGAATTTCCTGCAGCCCTGCCGCGCTCTGCATGCAGGGGAAATCCCGGACATTTGTAGCTATTTACAAATTCCCCCCAGACGCTATTTTTAACCCAAAAAGGCGGACATGACCGGGAAAATCCGGACGAATGGTAACCCTAGCTAACTCCCACTTATATGAATAGTCCCATTAATGGTAAGAGGAGGTTGTACCATTATTCCTTGAATTTCTAATATGGAGAAAACACTGCAGAGTGAACACACACAATTAAGAAATGGAAGCTTCTCTGATTTTCACTACAGATGATCAAGAGACATTTTCTCCTAAATTCTTTCCTGTCATTTGTTATCCAGCTACATCTGTCATCATGTTTGCACATTGTTAAAAACTGCCTAGCCAATGTATTGTACAGATATACAGTAAGTGACAGTCCATGCCTGAAAGAGGTCTTAACACTGGGTGGAAGCCCAAGTCC